CCAAAGAATTTATTCCTTTGACAATATTTCAATTTGTGCTAAACAGTAAAATAAATAAATAAATAAATAAATAAACAGAAAAGTGCTGGTGTTCTGTAGGGTGCCAGGTGTACATTAAATGGTAAAAAATGTCACTCACACATTTTCATAATTTAGCTCAGTGTAAAATCCTAGTTAAAAATGTTCACTAATATTTTATTTTTAGCTCACGGTTCTCATATTTAGCTATTTTTTTCAAAATGTTAAACTGAAGTGTATATTATGTAAATATAAAATCCTAAATCTAAACATGTAAAACAAATGTAAAAGTTGAATGTAGATGTTGTGGATTCAACATAATGCAAATGTTGATGTTTACAATAAAGTATTCCAGACCTGAACATAATATTAGCAGCATTAGCAGCGTTAGCAGCATTAGCAGTGTTAGATGTCACTGCCTGATCTGTTAGGGAAGCACGATCTGTACTGTTAGCTTATTTGCTCGCATGTACTAAAAGAAATACAACGGGAAAGCTTTGTTTGTTTTTAGCATGTAGCATTTCACTGGACTGCTTTATGGCAGAAGGGATTTGATTTCAGTCTTTCGTCATCTGCAATGTTTCATAGAAAAGACAACGTTTACAACAAATAAGGATTCTTATTCCAGGAAAATAAAAAGTTATAATGGAGATGTGATGAATTATAACATAGGTCCACTTAGGCCCGCGACTCCGCGCGTTAATTTAAATAAATATGTACACATCACAAATCTATATTTGATTAATATCAATTCAATTCAGCTTATTTATATAGTGCCAAGTCACAACATACGTTGTCTTAGGGCACTGTACACAAAAAAGAACAATCTAAAGAAGAAACCAGCAGGCTGCGTTGAATCACTTCATCACAGTCTCCCATCCTGAGCAAACAGTGGAGAGGAAAAACTCCCTATTAAAAGGGGCAATATTGTGTTTCTCAGGCATATATGTACGTAAATACTATACCATAATGAAGTATCTGTCACATTTAGTTGTCATTAAAATACTGTTTTTATGTTTAAATAGAAAATAAACTTATTTTCTCATCACTTCCTCTTCTAAATGTGTTGAAATTGGCCTCTGTCTCTTTAAGAACCACCTTCCGCTTCTGTCCCGCCCATTACAGTGCAGGGGGGCGGGGTCGCGTGCACGCTATGATGCAGTTTACTTGGCATCTGAAACTACATTTCCTCAAAGGTATTTTGAATCTGATAAGAGCTTCACTGAGTGAGCAGTAGCGTTAAGAGCAGCAGACAGTTTAAGTTTCACTTTCAGTTTGCTCTGTTACTGCCTAGAGCCTGCAGGAGTCATGGTTGGGGGGTGTGGGGTGGGGAGCTGTGCTCCGTGATGAGGAAGCTCGGCTTAAAGACACGCGTTTCTGGTCCCAAAAGGCGCCAACATGACACAAGGGGTCAAAGCGCAGGGGCGGGGACGGCAATGTTGGGTCACTTTTGGCACGCACACCCTGGCGCCCTGCGTGACGCGTCGAGTATAAATCTAGCTGGGGCGTTTCTGGTACCAAAAGGCATTTCTGGTCCCCACCTGTCGTTTTGCTCCTCAGCATGACTTCCTAAAAACGCTGCAGGATTTCTCAAACATGCATGAATGAGTCAAAGCAAGACTTTGGGTATGTTTTTTATTAGAGTATAACATCATAACATGAAATAAAACACAAAAAAGTTGATTTTACATGATATTGCCCCTTTAACTGAAGACTTCTTAAAGAGTTTTTTGGATGTCCAGATGATAAAGAATTACAGTAATTTAATAAATTCAAATCAGAATGTACATGTTATTATAACAAAATATAATTTAGCACACCTTTATAATTACTGTAGGTATGGAAACAATTATTACCAGCTTTTTTTTTTCTAAATCAAGTGCAATATCCTGTAATCTGGAAATGTCTTATAGCGCAAATGAGCTAACAGTACGGATCGTGCTTCTGGAACATATCGGGCACTGAGACGTCATCATCTTGTGACAAAAGCAACCACTAATGCTGCTAACACTGCTGAAGATCCATCCATCCATCCATCCACTTTCTGTACACGCTTCTTCCTTTTCAGGGTCGCGTGGGTCACTGGTGCCCATATCCAGCAGTCACAGTGCGAGGGGCGGGGTACACCCTGGACAGGTCGCAAGTCCATCACAGGGCCACTGCTGAAGATGGTATCTAAAATTCAAATTCAAAACCTGTTTATTAAAAAAAAACATGCTGATGGTCCTGCAGTTTGAAGTGCAGCTCAGAAACCGGCCACAACTGCAAGTTTGATATTTTGCAGGGAAGCTTTAGCAGTGTAAGCAGCGTTAGCAGTGTTAGCGGTTGCTATTGTCACAGGATGATGACATCATAACATGAGCCGAGCTCAACGGCAAAGGCTGCATTCCATTCCGGATTCTTACATTTAACATTTAATTACAACATTTAAGATTTAACTTTTACATTTAGATTTAAACATTTGGATTTAAGATTTAATAATTACATATATTTTTCCATTTATATTTAATTTAAAATTTAGTAAAAACTAGTAAAATGTAAAAACAATGAGCTAACTAACAAAAAAATGTTGGTGAAAAATTTTTAATACTCAGAAAGGGTTAGTGACTTTTTTTTACACTTTATTTTACACTTGACACCTCAAACGTGTTAGAGAGAACATAAGTCATATCTTGTCACATTGATTTCCTGTTGCCGTCGACCCTCTTCCCACTTCATGCAGATTAAAAACCAAGAGGGGAACTTCTCAGACGGAGGCTTAGCTATCAGACACAGGAACGTTTTTCTCTTCCTCCGATAGAAAAACAACAAGCAGAATTATGATTAAGCTGTTTTATGCTGTGGTTTTTGGCTGCATTCTGGCGCTCGGCCTGCCTCTCAACGCCGTGTCGCTCTGGATCCTGCTTCGCCACCACGGCCTCAGATCGCCCAATTCTGTCCTCATGATCAACCTGGCGATCTCCGACCTGCTGCTCGTCATCTTCCTGCCTATGAGAGTCTACTTTTACGCTACTGGCACCTGGCCACTGGGGCGAACCACATGCCTCGTGGTTACACTTCTGTTTCGCGACAACATCCGCTCGAGTTCCATCTTCATCACCTTCATCAGCGTGGACCGGCTGCTGGCTGTGGTTTACCCTCTGAGGTCTCGCCATCTTCGAACGGCATCCAACGCCGTGAAAGGCGCTGCCGTCGTTTGGCTGTACGTGCTGCTGCTGAACATTCCAGAAGGTGTGAACATGTCGAAACACTTATACACTCAAAACGACACGATTTGTTTTGAATCGGTTCATTCAAATAACCCAAGAAAACCATTTATCCTCTACTTTCAAACTGTGGTAATGATTGTCATGCTGGCAGTCAACATCGGGTGCACCTTCATGGTGCTAAGGACTCTGCGCAGTCATCTCAATGAATCTGCAAAGGTCAACAACAAGGTGAAGGTGATGGTGATTTTTGCCATGAACTTGGTGATTTTTATCATATGTTTCCTGCCTGTGACATTTGGTTCAATGACCAGTCTTTTTGGTTCTGATATCACGGCGTTTGTATGCCTGGCTACTGCAAACTGCTGCCTGGATCCACTGCTGTATTACTTTTCTCTTGATGCTTTCTGGAGGAAAAAAGAAGACGCCGATATGAGACGAGAAATGAGAACAAATGATACTGAATTCTCATGAGTAAGACATCCCATTTAAATTGTAACGTTGATGCTTTTGGTTTTAAACATTTCTTAGATGACTTGCAGGAGCTTAAAATTCTGTTTTTGGTGAATCTATGTGTACTTATGAAGTTTTTTTTCTCAAAAATGACAACTTGGCAGCCTATTTCACACACACACACACACACACACACA